CGGTCAGGTGGGACGTGCACGTGGAGAAGGCTTTGTGCTTGCCCACGCCTGAGCACATCCTCAGGATGGTGGCCAGGATGTAGGTGTAGGAGATGAGGATGGTCAGGCTGGTGACAAACAGGTTGAAGCCAACAACCACAAACATTGTAATCTCATTGACGGTGGGGTTCGTGTGAGAGATGGCGTAAAGCGGGGGCCCCTCACAGTAAAAGTGGTTGATGATGGTGGGACTGCAGAAGGAGAGCCGAAGTGCAAGCCCCGTGTGGATGGCGGCATTCACGATCCCAGCGAGGTATGAGCCAGCTACCAGAAGCGCACACACTCTGCTGGACATGGAGATGGCATAGAGCAGTGGGCTGCAGATGGCCACGTAGCGGTCATATGCCATCACAGCCAAGAGGTAGCACTCAGTGGTGGCAAAGACTGCGTAGAAATAAAATTGTGCGAGGCACGCAGAGTGAGAAATGACCTTCTGTTCTGCCAGGAGATCTGAGAGCAGTCGGGGGGCAATTGAGGAGGAGTAGCAGATGTCTAGGAAGGACAGGCTGCTCAGGAAGAAGTACATCGGGGTGTGAAGCTGGGCGTCCAGCCTGATTAACACCAGCATCCCCAGATTCCCCAGCAGAGTGATCACGTAGATCACCAAGAAGACTGTGAAGAGGACAGCCTGGACATCTCCCTGCTCTGAGAACCCCAAGAGAACAAATTCGGCACTGGGGGTGCAATTTCCTTTGGCCGCCATTGTAACACAGTTGCTGTGGGGAAGCAGAGACGCGGAGAAAGAGAGTCAGCATATTCCTGTTTTCCTTACCAACAAATGCTAAAGACGTATTTATTTTTATCAGAACCCACAAATTTCAGCGGCAGGAACTGTTGAACAACGTATTGGGTGTTTGCCTCGAAAGACGTTTTAAAGCAAACAAAGTGCACAAGGGAATTTCTTTCTAATGGGAGAATTCTGGTCTAGTCCCTGCTCACGTGGTTGGATAAAGTCACTCGGCACGGCAGAGGGCTTGTTCTACCCCCTGAAGGAGTCAAGAAGTTTGTTACTCATCAGATCCACGGCAATTTATTCTGACACTAGCAACCAGTCTGCGTTTAAAAAAGAAAAAGAAAAAAGAAAAGAAAAAAAAAAAACAAAAAACAAAAAGAAACCAGAAAAATAACTTGTTTCAGAAGATCAAAAGTGAGAAGGCACTGGTTGGAGACCAAGACATTTGTAAAATCATTTCCTTCAGGAGAGACAGAACAAGGGACAAGAAAACTCAAGGTTCTTCCCATCCTCCCCATGAAGCTCTGAATTTAAGCTTGCAACAGGAGATTTAGTGTGTTAAACCCCCCTTCAAATATGGTGATATCCGCATCGGTCTTGTGGTGCCGCTGAGGTGAGGGAGATGAGAGAAAGGGTTGTAAAAGGGTGGTACTGGTGGAAACCCACCAATGCTACAGCGCCGTCATGAACCAGGGGAGAAAGGTGCTGATAACACAGGGTTTGAGGGGGGGGTTTAAAAGAGGTAAGATTAAACTCATATCTTCTTAAAAGAGAAGCTAAGAGTAGCCACAGAAATTACTGAGGGTTTTTGAACTGCTAAACACGATACTGAGAGATACCGTTGGAAGGGACCTTTCTGCATGAGGGATGTTCAGCGCCGGTGTCCTACCTCGTCCAGTAGGTGAGGCTCCCTTCAATCCGCACCTAGTCAAACAAATTTCTGTCTCATTCCAGCATTAAGCCGGTTGCAGATACTTTCACACCCTTCCCAACCAATTTGTAGCTTGCCCCATAATGATGAGGAACTCCTGGAGAGAGTCCAGAGGAGGGCAACAAGGATGATGGGGGGACTGGAGCATCTCCCCTAGGAGGAAAAGCTGAGGGAGCTGGGCTTGTTCAGCCTGGAGAAGAGAAGGCTGAGAGGGGATCTCATCAACACCTACAAATATCTCAAGGGTGGGGGGCACGAGGACGGAGCCAGACTCTTCCCAGTGGTGCCCAGCGCCAGGACAAGGGGCCATGGGCACAAAGTGAAGCAGAAGAGGTTCCAGGTGAACGTGAGGAAGAACTTGTTGACTGTGAGGGTGGCTGAGCCCTGGCCCAGGCTGCCCAGGGGGGCTGTGGAGTCTCCTTCTCTGGAGATCTTCAACCCCTGCCTGGACGCTGTCCTGTGCCCCCTGGTCTTGGTGAATCTGCTTTAGCAGCGGGGTTGGACTAGATGATCTCCCAAGGTCCCTTCCAACCGTTCCCATTCTGTGATTCTGTGATAACCCAGGCGGCGTTTCTCTGCCGTGATCTTCACTGCATGGCAAAGAGCAGCCCACACACCGCCTGTCCTCCTGCCTGCATCGTGTGGAAGGTCTGAGATGATCTTCACTGCATGTCCTCCTGCCTGCATCGTGTGGAAGGTCTGAGACAAAGCAGCACTCGAGGAGGGCAAGGAGGTTTTGCAGGCACGATAACGTGCCACCGACGCTTTGCTGAGCCACTTCATCAGCTTGCCCAAGCTGCTGCCCTCCCCAGCCACTGGACAATAATCATGCATCCCAGTTGTCTTTATTAAAATAAACAGCTAAGACCAAGGGGCCGCTGACCTCTGACAGCGTTTGTGTCTCTGGGTTGGCTTTGCTGATAGTCTGAGCTGGTGGCTGCCTTAAAATTGGCAAAGCAACTTATAAACCCCTGGGTTTGGCAGGAGAGATCCTGACCTCGGGTGACTGATCCGTGCGAAAACTGGCTCCTGCCTAAAGTCCTCCCCTTGCCTCAGATCAACTCTTCATAGCATCGTTTAGGATAAAACTCACCTGTCTGCTCAGATCTCAGGGCCTTTTTTGGTTGATTAGCGACTTGTTATCTCCTAGACCAAAATTTCACGGGAGAAATAAACCCCGATTTCTCTCAGGGTTGGTGTGAAAAGCAAGAATGATTTGCCAGCCGTGAAGGACACCGATCCTTGGCCAAGAAAAGCCGCTCTTTAGAGGACTCTCCCGTTAAAAGACCAAGGGGTTTGCTGCTGCCCTCCTGGGTGCAGGAGATTTCTCCTGGGAATTGATGACTTTGGAAACAGCTCCTTAAGGAGGAGACATCCACTGATAAACACAATTAGCTGCAGTAAGTTAAATGTAAACTTGAGTGGGTTTTGTATATATGTATATATAAAGAATTTTTTATATGTCTATGAATTTATCTCTTGGAATACAGAATTTATCTCTCGGAATCATAAAGAATTAAAAAGAGCTGGTGTAAGAAATAAGGATTCAAGGCTCAGGAGATAGCTCGGGATTTGGAGCCGGGTCGCAAATGTTATTGGGGAGGAAGAAAAAACTATTCAGGATCTCTCCTGCCGCAATTCGGTTCCACGCTCCCTGGGATGGGATAATCCTGTTCTTTAAAAACCCGGAGAGCTGGCTCCAGGCATCTGCAACAGTGGCAGCCATGTTTATGGAGAAAAGTTTCTCTTTTATTGCTCTTAAAAGAACAAAACAGTACCAATGTCCGTAATCAGATCACAGAATCACAGAATCACAGAATCGTAAGGGTTGGAAGGGACCTCAGGAGATCATCTAGTCCAACCCCCCTGCTAAAGCAGGCTCACCTAGAGCATGTTACACAGGACTTCATCCAGGCAGGCTTTGAATATCTCCAGAGAAGGAGACTCCACAACCTCCCTGGGCAGCCTGTTCCAGTGCTCTGCCACCCTCAGAGTGAAGAAGTTCTTCCTCATATTCAACTGAAACCTCTCGTGTTTCAGTTTGCATCCATTGCCCCTAGTCCTGTCGCTGGACACCACTGCAAACAGACTGCTTCCGTCCTCTTGACTTCCGCCCTTAAGATATTTGTATGCGTTGATGAGATCCCCTCTCAGTCTTCTCTTCTTCAGGCTGAACAAGCCCAACTCTCTCAGCCTTTCCTCGTAGGGGAGATGCTCTAGTCCCTTTATCATCCTAGTAGCTCTCCTCTGGACTCTTTCCAGGAGTTCTTCATCTTTCTTGAACTGGGGAGCCCAGAACTGGACACAGTACTCCAGATGGGGTCTCACCAGGGCAGAGACCCCACCTGGAGTACTGTGTCCAGATCTAGGGAACCATTTCCTATCCATCCCCGGAAAATATAACCTGGGCTTCAGGAAGGTAATATCTGGTATTAGTGACCTTTACATCAAAGCGGAAGCAGAGCTCTGATGCTATCTTCATCTGTTTTGCTTTTCTGGTCTTTCCAGAAAGCGTTTTATGGATGCTGGGCATCTGCGCTATTATAATTATAAATTAGCGATTAAAAGCTCGTTTCACCTTCTCACTCTGAGGGGAGTTTTTGAAGGACTGCGCATGGTGAGCTGAGGCTTTCCCCTTATAGAATAAGCTTAGTTTAATTAATTACATTTTTATTTGTTTAATTTTCATAGAATCACAGAATGGTTTGGGTGGGAAGGGACCCCCAGAGGTCACCCGGCCCAACCCCCCTGCAGGAGCAGGGACACCTTGAACCACATCAGGTTGCTCACAGCCC